ATGCTGGTATGAAGGAGAGAGGAGGAAAGGAAAATGGAAAGGGCCAGTCTTTTTCCCACCCATTTCCTCCTTGTAGGTCCTGGCTTCTTGGCATGAAAGTAACAAACATAGTGATGGTTTTGGCTAACACACAATGAACAGACCACTGAGAAGGGGATGCCAAAAGTTGGTCGTTGGAGAAGGCAGGTCATTTTCCCAGGTGGGCCTAGAAATAATGAAGGAAGAAAACAGCAGAAGTGAAACAAGGAGGGTGTAGGTGAGATCCCTGTTGTTGGCTGTGACAACAGGAGTATACCTGTGCTTAATAAATGTTCCAAGTTCCCAGCTGGTCATGAGGAAGAGGGAAATAGCAATTGTGACTACACCAATCCCTAGATGCTCCTCATAAAACAGGAAGTCCAAAGATTTGAGGAGAGATTTGTTTTTTTCTTGGTTTGCATAGTGATGTTATGGATATCGGAAACAGTCATCCGTATGTAGGGAAAAAGTCAAGAAACTGTCATTTCTTTCATATTTTTGAAAATTAACTTCTGAGCAGGTGACAATCATTTTTTATATTGAATTCTTTTAGTATGCTACAACTTCGTGAATGGCGATATGAAAATACAATCTTTCTCATTCCTGCAATGTGCGATTGGTAAGTAGAGGAATACATAATTGAAGGGTGGCTATTCTTTGATATCCAGTCTTCTCCATTTTAAAACCAGAGAGGTCAAGAACAGTGAGGATGGATTCAGCACTCCCATCCCACTCCCACCAGAGATCATCCAAAAGTGCTTCCAGTGTTGTTTCCATCCTATATCTGGGCCTGAAACCTTTTTTCAAAAGAAATGCAAAATTGTTTGCATATACTCACAGTTAAGCTCAAATGATCCAATCGTATGGTGGGGGTTTGCTTGCTCGTTTAATTCCTTCCTAGAAGAAATCTTCCCTTCTGGGCATGGAACACAGTCATAGCAGCAGAAAGGTCTCCCTTCAGCCCTTCTTTTCCAGTATCCAGGTGAACAGAGGTCATTACTCAGAGAAACAGGATGAACTGAGAGACAGAGACATAGACATGAAAAAACCAGGATTAGACAATTTCAATTGTCTAATCTGGATTAGATGAATGGCCATCAACATTATTAATATTTGTTTTTGTTGTAGAAGCACCTGAAATCATGGGGGCAAGAACACCAAGCAAAAGAGATTGCAAGTGTGAACAGTAGCAATACAAACTGAGGGTCACATGGTGAAATAAAATTTAGTGATCTCTCTCTCTTTCTTCTCTTTCTCCTCTGTCTCTCTCTCTACAATCTGGATTTAATTTATCCAATATTTAAATAATGTGTTGATAATACTATTGTCAGCAGCCTTTTTCGAGAATATGGATTTTCCCACCACCATAACAGAAATTTCTGATAGAATTCTCTTTGAAAAAGATGAAAGGGGACCTATTTTTTTTTCAGAAAATAATAAAACTTCATAAGCTCATTTTAGAGAGGGAATTTGATCCTTTGTACATAAGCATGGTTTCATCTATATACCACTAAAATTCCTTTCTGTTTGTAACCTTCAATTGGCCGAAACAGTGCAAAATAGGGCAACAGTTTTTGAAGCAATGGGCTAACATAAAAAATACCTCCCAAATCAGGGCCCATTACTCCCATACAACTGAAATTTCAAGGATCTTCAGACCAGTTGATCTGCAGACTTTTTTCTCCTGTAACACGTTCTCACGGCTGCAGTCAGCCGTGGTCAAGTGATCGTGATTTCCAGCGTTCCCTGCCAGCTTCCCACAAGGACAGTCAATGGGGAAGCTGGCAGGAAGTCAACATTTGGTCCTGCTCCCACTGCTTTTTTGCCCTCCCATAGTCATTCTGGTGATCTCTTTAGGTAAGTAAGCATCTCTCAAAGTATGACTCTGAAAGGATGAGCAACAAATATACTGTGGTTTCCCAATTATGGGAAAAAGAACAGGAAAACCCATAAAAGATATAGTTTAGGCCACAGATAGACAGTTCCTCACCTAACTCTTCACCTAATTCATTTACATTTCTTTTTCATCCCCTTTAAGGTGTGGCAGACAGATGATATACTCATGATATAGGAGCTTGCAAAGGCTATCTGAAATTTGGCAGTAAGAGAGCCTATCTTTTCCACTTCAGATACTGAAACACTTTGTGAATTGATTCTCTTTGATAACTTTTCTGATTCAATGAGTACTTAGCCTGACCTCTATGGAAGATCTGTATACTGTGAGGGTCAAAAGGAGGGTATAGAAGATATCTGCAGAACCTCCTCATCCTGGACATAAATTGTTTCAACTTCTCCCTTCGGGACAGCGCTGTAGAGCAGCATATGTTGAAAGATGTAGACACCGGAACAGTTTTTTTTCCTTGTGCCATTGCTCTGATGAACACCCAATTAATGGAGTATAATATACTGGTTGACATTGCATGAAGATATGACTGCTAAGATGTGACTGATCATACTCTGTAAATATGAATATATGTTAGATAATAGTTTTTCCTTTTAAAAAATGAATATATGTTAATAGCCGCAGTACTATCTTTCCTTTAATTCTCCTCTTCTGACTGCATAGTTTTTTAATATAGTCATTATTATTTATTTATTTTTATTTATTTATTTATTTTTATTTTTTAGTATTCTTCTTATTCCTGATGCTATGCAAACACACTGAGAGCTCTCTGGACTGAAGTCAAATTCCTTGAATGTTTACATACTTGGCCAATCAAGTATTCTGCTAATGAGCACTTAATAATTCATTTGTGATGCCTCACAGATAGACATGGATGGATAACTTCTTTCTGAAAGCATAAAGTATTTATTCATGCATCCATTGTTTGAGCAGATTTAATGTAGAACAAATCATATCCCCAAATCTCATTGCTTTACATCATTCTCTTTTATAAATTTCTATCCATTTGGAGAGGTCACAAAGAGGGATAAAATGAACTAATAATTTGGACACTCATGAGGCAAAAGAATGTAGGGTGGTTTCTGTCATGTTTATGGCCCATTCTGTGACCAGAAGCTGTTCCTGCATTTCATTCAGCCTGGGCTGTTCCTTGGACATCATTAGATTTTTGATTCACCATTATTCTTTTCCAAATTCGATAATGCTTCCTACATCATGGGGTCACTAATATTCATCAGGAAATTAGAAGTAGGGCCCAAGTCCAGGGAAGCTCTGCTTGGGGCCCTATTTCAATAGGACTTCTCATATTTCCCAGGTGACTTCGAAACTACTTGGATATCCAGCAATATGTAGCAATGCCATTAGGCCATATCAGAATACTAAATGTAAAACACAGAAGAGTAATAAGGTCATAGGTTAAAAACAGAATAAAAGAAATAAATCAGTAACAGGAAATGCAAATCATATTTCTGTGTTACCCTACAGTTTACCCCAGTTAAAAATAGAATTAAATAAATAAATAAATAAATAAATAAATAAATAGATGAAAGTGCAAATCATACTTCCTCGTCATGCTACAATTTACCCCAATCAGATCCACATATGCAGTTTTCAAGTGTACTGTTTAGTTCAAATAAATGGCTATATTATATGTAAGTTTTGGATTTTGACCACACATGGAATGTGTTGTTTTGATATATGGATCCTAATAGCTCATTCATACAGCATAATGTTTGGCCCAAGGTACTGAGCTCTCTCTTTCTTATACAATTGATATTCAAATAATATATGTGTTACTTGACAATGAATGACCCATCTATATGGTGTAAGCAGATAAAGGAACTTAACTCAATTGGATTGTTTCACCGTTGTTCTTGGGCTGGACCTGCCATCAATCTTGCCAGACTCAATCTATACTACTGCAACTAGAGCATATACCCTTGAGATTCTAGGGAGTGGCTATCATAAACCTCTTATGCTTGCCACGCTTCCCCTGGAGATTGGTCTCCTTTCTATTCCTGGAATGCACCCTCTACTTCCAGTTAGCCTTGCTCTGGGTTGCTATCTACCACATCACCCTCCTCTTCATAGATACATTCCATCACAGATCCCAGGAGAAACATCAGAGCTCTCCTTACAGAGGAGTACAGTGCTAGGAACAGTTGAGATAACGTGGAGAATCCTCAAACTCTAAGGCAACTTGTAGAGGACATGAGATTGAAGAAGACACATAGTACCCATAAGGGTGACAGGGGGTATGTATACTTTGCCCAGGTATTTTCATCTTGGTCCTTCCTTGTATAAGAGAGAGCTGAATCTATTTGTTAAAGGGTTTGGGCCAAATTTCACCTTTGGTTTTCATGCCAAATGAAAGACTTCTAATATCAAGGCAAATCAAATTAAACTTAATTATGGTCATTGGCCAGCATACACTTCTAATTAGGGATGAGATAGGAGGAAGAATATATTTTATTTCAGTAAATTTTCAATATTATTAACACCTTATAACAGTTTACAGTGGAAATACAATGATGGACAGAGAGTGAGAGGTTATGACCCAGTACGAAACCTTTTAAAAAAAAATACACTTATATGTACAGGTTTGAGAAACACTATACATTTTAAATTTCAAAGAACCCTAACTAATCCAAAACTGATAACCTATGAAACTGTGTTAAATGCACATTCATAACATGTTAATCAATTTTTCACTATATTTGTGCAGCTGTTTATGAACCAAAAGTATAAAAACTGGGAGTGTGGCAGCTGAAAACTTTCATTTGAGTCATTATATAATTTCTCCAAACAGTAACCAAAAAATCCAGATTTTCCCAGTCTTGTTAGCATGGTGTGTTGAAAGGGAGAAAGGTTTAGGACAAAAAGCCTTGGGAAATGGTTGAAAATGAAGCAATATGAGCATTTCTTTTGGAATGGGCAACCATAATAAATCTTAATAATAATATTAATCCTCCATAAATTCATCTTTAGAGAGAAATAAGGACTTCTATATATTTCCTGTGGACAGAAAACAGTCTCTTTTGTCAACAATTTCCCAGACTGAGAAAGGTGACATGATGTACTAATTCCTCTTTATTAGTTGCTCCCTGTGGTTTAGCTCAGGCCTGAAAACAATGATGAAGCATTTTGGCAAAAAGATGCATCCCACTAATGCAACGCTGGAGGACAGGATGGAGAAGACCTCCACGGCTACCATGGCTTTTCCTCTCGTGCTCAGA